GATCTAAATGATATCGAAAACGTGTTTCATTCTCATTTTTCATAGCTTGATGAGAATCCTATAAAAAGTGTTGAGTCTATTCAAGAGATTAAACTTTCCACTATTTTATATCATAAAAGTTATTTTAAAAGAATAAAAATGAAGAAAATTTATCATCGATGTTCAGATGACATGTCTCCTTTAGATATTTCTAACTTATACGGTTACAAAAAATATCTTTCTAAAATATACTAGTAGATAGATTGTTTGTTTTTCATATATTTAAAATAAGATTTATTCATTATAGCATATATATATACTCGTCATATTATTTTTTTTACTAAATCATATTGTTATGTTGGATTGATTAATTACGTTTACTAGATATATGAATTAATCATATTGTATTTGAGCTATGAAAATCAAAAAACTTCTCATGAAATGGAATAAAACCATTTTAAGTGCAGTTCAGATATATATCATACGATAAAATGATTTTCTTTCTTTTTCTTTTTTACATAGTGATAATGAATTATAAATCGGTGATGGTAATCAGTTTTTTATTTACTTTTGCAATGATAGCATGGAGTATAGTAGAATTCGAATTTTCATCTGATGGTAATATGTTAAAAATACAGTTGATTTTCTATGAAATTAATTGATATTTTACTTTTTAGAGTCGAATAGTATTGATGATACAATGCGTGAAATTCGTCATTTCGGTTGTAATGGACCCAATGATCAGAATAAATTTCGATGCCAACGACATTGTATGCGTCAAGGATATAGAACTGGTTCTTGTAGTGAAATTGATAATTATAAAAAATGTGTTTGTATTAAATCTCCCTTGTTAACACAGAAATATTCGGAATTATTACAGTTTTTCTTTAATATATCATCTGTATAATTTTATCTAATTGTCAATAATATAAACATGAAATATAAATAATGATACAATGAAAAACTTGAGTCTCTTAACTTTACCAAAATCAAATGGATTGATTTTTGTCTTATCTAATATAATAAAGAAGTATTCAAAGTTTTCATGAATAAAACAACCTAATTCAATATTCGATTTATTTTTATTTTAAGTATAAATGAATAGTTCAAGTAGTATGATTCACGTTAAATACAACAAAAAATCGTAAAATTAAAAATTGTTATGGGTATTGATAATGTAAAAACCTTTACAAATATCTATAAAAGACGTCCAACCAAAAATCGCTTGTTTGATTTATCATTATCGTGGATCAAACTTGTTTTTTTTTGACTTTTTTTCTCTCTATTGAACACTTGATGTTAAAATTATTTTTATGTGAGAAAGAATTTAGTTATTTGACTAATCTGTCTTTGTTCTACTAAATAATAAATAAATGTATAAGAAGAAGAAGAAGAAGAAATGAAACATATATACTAGGTTCAATGTATTTTGTATCCTATTTCTTATAGAATTCTTTTCCTTTGATTTGAAACTTTTTGACAACTAATATTTAGTAAAAATCGAATCGTTGAATTGTTTCAAATGCAATTCAATTCAACAGTCTTGCAAACATGTATGATGCGATTTCAACATCCGATCCATTGTGTTGAATGTCAATTAAATACAAAAATACAATATGTATTTTACGATTTATATACTTTATTCGTTTATAAGTGTGATATTATAAAATTTTTCAACCCTTTTATCAAATGTTCTTCACTGATCATTCGCGTTTTAGAAAGCCTTTAAATACGCATACTTTTGCTTCAAACTTTTAATTGCGGTATCTTTTATTAAATACAAATCTGAAGATTGTTGTCTCTAAACATTGTCGAGTTCTGTGCATTAACAAAATGATTACTTTCATGTCATTAATAGAATAGATAACCTTACCAACTGATTCATTAAAGTTTTTCTTTTCAGTAATATAAATTACAAAGACAAACTAATACAATTCATAACATTAATTTTCAGATCTCGAGTTTTTATGATATCTAAGACCTTATAGAGAGACACTTTTTTTCCCTATTCTGTAATAAAACTTTTTTTAGAAAGTTTATTTTTTCGCATAGCAGCCATTTATTATAATATCATATTACTTTATTAAATCGAACAAGTTTAAATAATGTTTGAACATTCATTATTCGTTGTGCTTCTTATTCTTTAGAGTGGGGGTGTGGGTGTTGGTGATGTTCTTCTCGTCATCCACACCCACACCCACCCACTCTATATATAAATCAAAAAGGGTCAAAGTGCAATCGAATGCGTTCCATTCCTTTTAAAATAAGGTCTTTTTCGTAGCAATGCTACAGTAAAATTGATCAAATTTTATTTCACGAATAGCTCACTGGAGAGAGTAGGACAAAAGTTTATTATTGTGCCAAGAGAAGGATCGTACTTGATAGTTTACAAAATATTTGAAAGCGAAGGTTTTAAACTCACGATCAAGGTGTACGGTTAGATTCGAAGTAGGATAGAAAAAACTGTAACGAACAATATGCTACTTAGTGCTTAAAGTATACAGTTTTAAAGATACCCGGAAATTGTTTTTCGAATAATGAAATATATTTTTCGATACTTTCAAATGTGCTCTACAACGTAACAGAAACATTCATTTCGAGTTTTGAAACAAATACTTAATGTCTGAAGTAGCGCGTTACGTGGACGAGCCGCCATATTCTTGTGCAGTCGAAACTATCTGATGAGATCCTTTAGCAAGGTCGAAAGGCGTCGTAGTCTGCTTGACTAACTCCTCACTCTCGCCCCTCAAATTTAATTTATTTAAACTTATTTCACGAATTGAGTTGCATAGACCGAATCTATACTATTAAAACTAATAATCATATACAATTAATAAACCTCTATTAAAAAATAATGTTTCTATGATTGATAAATTTATTAAATAATTTCATTACAACATCAAAAGCTTTGACAAAATTAATTTATTTCTCTTTTGATATGCTTAGTTTTTGTTTTCTTGATATATATTAAATATTTTGTTGAAGAGCTTCGGGATTAATTTGATTTTTTTTATGTTGATAAATTTTAACAAAAATAATTGCTAAACAGTGAGTTATAATAACTAATCCACCATAAAGAGAAATGAGAGATATTACTGTTTCAGTTACATCATGAGTTTTAATATAAGAATATGAACATGATAATGGTCGACATTGATTAAAATAATTTTCATATGATAAATCACTTTTATACTCTTCAATCATTAAATTATTTAAAATTAATTGAACTGTTGAATTTAAATTAAATTGACTTTTTTTCAACGTTGATATATTTAAACTTGTAAAATTTCCATTTGAATCAATACAATTTTGATCATAAAAACAGTAAAGTTTTGTTTGAAGAATAGATTCTAGTGGATAACAACCACTCATCATACCTCCTGATGATTGAGTGCATTTAAATGATAATCCACAATTACACTCACCATAACTTACAGGTGCTGTATGTACAAGTAAACCATCAGAAAATGTACTTTCAGGAACATATTCCCAATTAGTGATCCATCCACTCATAATCATATTCGAACCAATTATTTCACGAACTAAATTAAAATTATTAAGAAATGAATTGGATGCTGTTGATTGAAGTCGTTTTAAAATTATTTCAATTTTTTCAATTAAAAGATTTTCAGATAAAAGCTGAGCATTAATAAAGTAACTTTTCAGAAATTGCGAAAGAGTATGATTTACTTTTTCTTGACTAAGTTTACAAAGTGAAGAAAGTGAAAGAAATTGTCCAGGAGCTGAATAACGATAATCATCGGATGAAAATCGATAAGAAAGATGACCTTCACCATAGATATAATGAATCCATTCATCAAGAATAAATTGACTTGAACATAAATCATGAAAATGAGGTTCAATATTAAGAAATGTTTCATATGGAATGGATACTTGTGAACAAGGACATTGAAGAGAATAAGAATGATCTTTTAAGAAATCTTTATAATTTGAAAGTGATGGTTTTATTATTTGGACAGTAACTGATTTTGGTTTAAAAGCAAAAAATATAAATACTAACCATAATATTAGTAAAAGAAAAACAAAATGAAGTCGATTAATAATACGTTGTTCTGTATTACAATCGAATAACCTCTTTATCATTGTTATAAATCCATTAAAAGAATTATTATTAATTGTATTCTCAATAAATCGAAGAATAATTAAAATAAGTAGTTTTAATCCAAGAGATAAACCACCAAAAATACCAAGAATTGTTGATATAGCAAAGAATAAATCATTTCGACTAATATATTCATATGTACATGATGGTGGAGAACATGTATTATAATATGAAGAAAATAAAATATTCGATGTCCAAGAATCAATCATAAGTTTATTGATAATTGATCCGATTGTTTCATTCGGTGGACTAAGATTTTCATTTAAATTTGAAAAATTAAAAGATGATCCAAGAGAATTATCGAAATATCGATCTAATTCAATCATACATGATAGATTATAAAAACATTCTAAAGTTGATTTCATCAATCCTTCGATTTGGGAACAACCCAGAAAAAAATTTGGGACTATGAAATATGTTCCGAAAATCTCCCAAAAATATGGATCGATCTCGTACACGCCGATAGGGATAAGGCATGATTGAGATAGAGTACATGAACAATTGAAATATTCTTGTACTTCAAGATTCATTTTTGTATCGTTCCAGTCTATATGATGAATATAATAATGAAACTGCTCACTCATAAGTTGATTTCCGTGTGATACTGCTTGAAATATTTTAATTGTTTGTAAGAATTGATCGATGGTTTGAGATTTCCAATCATTAATAGATGAATTAATTTTAGTTTCAAATCGATTTTTAGAAATAACTTGTGAAGAAAGAAATTGTGTTTGAAGAAATGTTTTGATACTAATTTTAACTGTTTGTTGAGCATGTTGACATAACATTGACAATAACTGAAATTGTAATACACCAGAATTTCGATAGTCAAACATTGGAAAATAATCGTTCACCATGTTATCACCCTTGATATAATTAATCCATGCATCTAACATAAAATCACTTGAACATACTTGATGAAAGTAAGATTCAATCGTAACAAAAGTTGAATAACTCATTGAGATTGTTAAACATGGGCAAAAAAGATTTGAAGAATAAATTTTTTCGAGTTCTTTAAATTGAAATTCCGATGGTTGATAAATTGTTTTTTGTTGAAGATCTTTCTTTAATAATAAATAGAAACTAAAAATAATAAGCGAAATGAGAAGAAAGAATAAGTGAAATCGAGTTGCAATTCTTTGATAATTGATTTGATGTTGATTGCCTCCATTATTTTGAAACATGTTTAGTTCAATTACATTTTTTTTCAAAAGTCTTTTTATATTTATTATTACTAAACATAAAATAAAGAAAGAAATAATTTTAGTTTTAGATTTTAACTAACGTAAGAAAAATAAAGAAAAACTTTTCTCTTGTAATAATTTCAATAGTAAATCAAATCAGTCAATATCATCACTTAGACAAATATATCGGTGTACTAATGTTAAAAGAGGAAGTAATTATTCTACTAAAACAAATTCTATTCTCTTCCTCAAAAAGTGTAAGATAAAATTGAAATTTTACATTATAAAATGTATTTTTCAATTGAAAAGTTTCTTGGATCATAACAAGTCAAATAAATAAAATAGATTCTATTGAGATAAAACGTACTTCTTCTATTTCATATGATGGCGTATTGATGATGCTTTAAAATGAATAGGTATTTTCTATTAAAGATGATGTTAACAATAGTTTCATTGAATATACGAAGAAGTTTCTTTTTCGCTGAACGCCTCCATTTTCCCATTATAACATCCTCTCTTCTATACAAAGTTCTAAGAATAGAATTAATGCTGTCAAATGTGGATGGGACTGCCAAGAAGTCACACCGTCATCGACTGGTTCCGTCTCGCTTCGTCCAAAATCTTTTTCCAGACTATTTATTCAGAAAATTTTAAATAGCCTTCGATTATTAATATTGCATTTCCTGAGATGAAGAGATATAATTCAAATATAGCCTGACCTATAAATAATAACAAGGCGATAGGAAATTTAAATATTTCGACTTCAAATCATTCAGATGAGCTAGTTTTTTTGTTCTTTTATATAACGCAATGCTCTATCTAAAATCGACATAACTGGGTGATCGAGTAATGAAGTGAACATCCTATACCGAGAATAGCGATAACGTTACTCCATCACTCTATCATTATGATCACAATAAAATAAATGTGGCAGTAATAACGAAATATCTCCATCTTTTTAAAATTTGTTACAGGGATAAACTCCTTCCCATAATAGAAGCCCACGGGAGCTTCTAAACTGTTTATCATTCAGAGGTTTTGGAGAGGACTTCTATTATGGGATGAGACTATTAATATAACTTTCGTAGAGAAATTTCGACAACTCTATAATGGAGACATTTTTTCAATCATCTTGACTATTTATTTGTGATAAATTCAAATAATCTTACAACATTTTGTGAAATTTAATATGAATATACAGAGTGTGTAAAAAGTGTTTTTTTTCAGAGTGGAGGAGTTTAACACTATGATTTCAAATAGCATTCATAAAAAACTTTTATATCAGATTGAAACACGTTAAAAATGAGATCTATCCATGCTAAATAGTAAGAGTTGTAGAATATTTTTGATATCGAACTAAAAACATTTTTGATAATTTTATACCGTTTTCGCGAAAAAACAGGATAGCCAGAGATTCACAATAGAGTAAAATGTTGTCTGGAGTATTTTTACATGGTTCGAGAGAGTTCGTTCATCTCTACAAAATTATATATATACTTTTAGAAAAAATTAATCATTTTTATGAGACCAAAACTCAAAAAAATACCTGTAAAACTTGCAAAATTTAAAAATTCATGTTTATAGGAGAGAAAAACGTTCAAATTTTCAATAAAATTAGTTTTTTTTCCATTAGTTTTTAATCCACAGCCGCTTCAAAAAATACAACTTGTTCTATCGAACTATATAAAAACATCCTAGACAAGATTTTATTCCATTGTGAATCACTGGTTACTTTAATTTTTGTTTTTCTGAAAAGGATATAAAATTTTTGAAAATATTTTGAGATCCACATCAAGAACATTCTAACTGGTGAGGGTGACACTTTAGTACCACATCATAAGTTTGAGAAACCTTTCTTTCTACATAAGCTGACAGAAAAGACAATGTTCTATCTTTCTGTGCTGTTTCATCATACTTCAGTTATTATCATAAGAAAAAAATTTCGATATGACCTATTTTTCTATCATATGTGGGGGTGTGGGTGTCTGTTGTTGAATAAAACCATATCAACACCCGCAGTCAAGAAAGATTAAAAAAACGCTTAAGCTTCATTCTGAAGTGTTTGATAAGTAGATTAATTATAAAGAAATTCATTTGGTACAAAACTATTTGGCTACGAAACCTTGAAGAGATTT